CTGTTGCAGATGATGCTCGTAGAAAAACATGGAGCATTTAGAAGAGCATTGCTTAGTACAGAATCCGGCTGTACAGAACGTTCATCCAGAGGCCATGCAAACCTCATCAGCCTTCAAGTTCTTCTTATAGCAGCAGTTCTGGTCTTTGCTGAAAGATGTGCTGAAAAGTTCAGTCCCTTTTGTACCAGAACCTCTTTTCACACAAAGCTATCTCCCATCTCCTTCTCTGAGCTTTCAGTCAGCCTATGAGAGGGAAGACAGGAATCTTTTAAAGCTGCTTCTCTTGCTCTGTGGGGCATCTCTCAGCTCCAGGCTGCTAATCGGGTGGTGGAAGAGGCAGAAGTTCAGGAGATTCCCCAGCTGCATTCTTAAGGGCTCTGTGACAGTTTTGCACAGCGTGGGAAGATTGGGCTCACACTTCTAAAAGTGTATCAAAATGGGAGTTCTGAAGAGCCCAGTGAGGCAAGTAAAACCCCATGTGACAACTCACTAAGCTCTCCAGAGCATGCTGAAAATACTGGTCCTCCCATAAAGCAACAAATCACTTTGGTAAATAAAACCTCCTCTGTGATTTTTTGACCTTTCCTCACTCCTGAAAGCATTGTCCAGTTGGTCCCAACCATTTTTTAAACATTCTGTCTTTAGATAAATATGCTCCATTTAGTATTGGTATTGCCGTGGTCCAGTTGGAGGCCCCACTCAGGACTGAAGGCCGGCTGTACGAGGCATTATACAAACACACTATAAATGGCAGGTCCAGCCCTGAAGAGTTTGTAATCTCCATTACATCTGTGAAACATCAGCTAAATTGGTTTATTTACATATGTATTAGGAGGATAAAAAACTGTGATGGAATACATGCCTGTATGCACATGCTGCACACTATTGTAATGGCCTTTATACAAGGTATGCCTTCTGGAGAGTCATTTGACAACACATAGTTTGCTGGTCAGTGTTATCCTGATAAAATATGTGTGCCAATATGTTGTGTGCAGTTATCCTATTTCCCTGTAGGATGTTATTGACACATGTTCCAAACCCCACAGCTCTGTGCGACCAGAAGTTGGCAAACAGTTCTGCCCTAAATAAGCTAATACATGCTTACCTTAATTTGCATTTAAGCAATAAATGGAGTCATCAATCAAAAAGGGGTAAACAAAGAAAGTTCAAACAGGTGGGGAAAAAAACAGCAGGAAACATCCTTCCACATAGACTCTGTCTCCTGGGTCCTAGCTGGAAATGTTTTTCAAGAGGGGTTCTGAAGCTAAATATCCCCCAGGGATGCTTGTCTCTCTTTCTGTCCATCTCACTGTTCACATCTGAGAAAACAAAAGGAAACAGCTGGGAGAGAGGTTCTCAGCTGAAAATTTGCTCAGTAATCTGCTGGAGCATGTGGTGAGGAAGTTTGCTTTGCAACTAAGTTGCTTAAGTAGATCCTGATAAGTGCTTATCTTTATTTTCTTGTAACCATTCCTGACTTGTACGCCTCATTACCTGTACTCACAGAAACTCTTTGTAGTTAATACAGTTGTTTCATTGTTTTATCTAATTCAGTGTGTGTAAATTGAAGTGCTTGGGTAACTCTATTCAAGGTGATAAACTGGAATATTTTCCATTAAGGCAGGGCTACTCAACTTTGAAAGCCCCGGGGGCCACAGTACAGTAGACTTCCGATAATCCAGAACCTATGGGATTTAGGTGGTGCCAGATTATCAAATATGCTGGACTATCAGGAGGTACTATAAACTGGTTATATATATACTGTATACATTTTATACTACATATAAAGTGTTCTTAACCCTTTTTATTGTACATACTGTATACAGTATACTGTAATGTTTTAGTTTTTTTAAGCCTTTTTTACCCTTTTTGCTCAGTTCAGCTGCTGCCGCTGTTACCTTGTGATTCATTTATTGCTGAAGCTCACTCAGTAGGCTCTTGCCATTTTGATGCCGGACTATCAGGAGTGCCGGACTATTGGAGTTTTACTGTAATGCCCACAGCACATGCCAAGGGCTGCAACGTACGTGTGGTTGCATATACATGCAAACATATATGCAACTATATGCAAATAGCTTCTTTCACACTGACGGGCACAAATACAAAGATTAAGCCTTAAGATGTGGTGCTGGACCCAGACGTGGCCAGTGTGAGCTAGTCAGCACCTCTCAGGCTCTGCCCACAAGGCTTAGCAGCCAGCACTTCCCACAGTGACCCAGCGCTCTTGGGACCTCCTTCCTGGGGGCTAGAAATGCCGACATCCTGTACCCGTCTGTTCCAGCCAGCCCATCTGCTTGCATCTTTCAGTGCTCACCCATGTGGCTCATGGGCCGTGTGTTGAGTAGCCCTGCCTTAAAAAGAATAATTTACCGTGTATTTGTACTGGACAGGAGAGGACTGGGCAGTACCAGGGAATGTGATTCTGGGGGAAAAATCTTGGGCTGAGGGTCTGTTGGATTCACACTCCACTATAATGAAGGCCAGTGAAAGCTAGGGTGGGGGATGGTAACTGGCAACCTGCATTTTCACACATAACCAGAGTGCGACTTTTATGCAGGAAGACTATGTGTGAGCAGCTCACCTGGGAGCTAGTCCAGCAAGTCATAAGGCATGCAAGGCTGAAAGACAAAGGTGACACCCTTCCACTCCTCCCATCCTGGTCTGGAGTGTGCCCTGGTATTGTTATGAGGAAACTGGGCAAAGTAAAAGTCTCCTGCCATTCTAATTCAGTCGTATTGTACTCCTACTCCATTCTCAAATGCATGGGAATAAATGGTTACACAGAGAGCAAGGAGAATTGAGCTTTATAATGGAGAAGTAGTTTCAGCTTTAAAGACCAGGATGATCTTTTTATTATGCCAATCAGTTTTAGGTCTTTTTGAAAAAAGAAATGGACTTTTGAAAAGAGAAAAGAGAATTCTCATAGAATAATGCAACTAGTAAACTGGTGAAACAATATTAGTGAGATCAACATATTCCTTGGAAAAGGGCGAAAGCAAAAAGATACAGATGTCTAAGGAGAAAGCTTTAGCAAATGGAGTGTGGTGAAGTTTAGACATGCAGGATAATATATGTAACTAATGACACAGCAAGCATAGCTTTGGAAACAATGACTCAGTTTGTTTAAAGACAGCTCAAATGCTACCCTAAAGCAAAATTGTGTGCAGTCTGAATATTTTCTGTTTTCTAGCTGAATTGTTGCTCCTTAATGCTACCCTAAAGCAAAACTGTGTGCAGTTTCTGTTTTCTGTTTTCTAGCTGAATTGTTGCTTCTCCCTTCCAGTATTTTCTGAACAGTCAGGATCTTTAGACATAAAGGAATAAAATAGGCAGCCAGAAATTATAGGATTTTACTTTGCCTATGAAAGAGGCACAGGAAGTCAGGATTATGGATGTGAGTCTCTGTCACATTGGGAATTAGTCTAGCAAGATAGGGATTCATGTTATCAGTTAACGTCTGCATACTAAAGAGACTTATTTATTTATGGCAACCTGTGCCTAGTATAAGATTAGTATTTTAATTTAGAAAGGTAGTTTCAATTTTGGCTAATACTTCAAGCAAGCTGCTGTCATTTTAGAAAAGTGGAAAGATGGCTAGATTGGCGGGCTCAATGGGTAGTGATCAGAATGGCTTGATGTCAGGCTGGCAGCTGGTTTCAAGAGCTGTGCCGCAAGGATCGGTTCTAGGGCCAGTTTTGTTCAACAACTTTATTAATGACCTGGATGAAGGGATAGATTGCACCCTCAGCAAGTTTGTGGATGACATTAAGTTAAGGGGAGAGATAGATATGTCGGAGTGTAGGGACAGAGTCCAGAGTGGTGAGAGGATTATTCTAAGAGGGGTGGGTGAGATTCTGTGGCCTGCACTGTGCGGGGGGTCAGACTAGATGATCATAATGGTCCCTTCTGTCCTTAAAGTCTATGAGTCTATGAGTGACCTAGATAAATTGGAGGATTGGGCCAAAAGAAATCTGAAGAGGTTCCTCAAGGACAAGTGCAGAGTTCTGCACTTCGGACAGAAGAATCCCAAGTATTGTTACAGGCTGGGGACTGACTGGCTAAGTAGCAATTCAGCAGAAAAGAACCGGGGATTACAGTGGATGAGAAGCTGGATATGAGTCAACAGTGTGCCCTTGTAGCCAAGAAGCCTAATGGCATATTAGCTTGCATTAGGAGGAATGTTTCCAGAAGATCTAGAGAAGTTATTATTCCCCTTTATTCAGCATTCTGGAGGCTACATCTGTAGTATTGCGTCCTGTTCTGGGCCCTCCACTATAGAAAGGATGTGAACTCATTGGAGAGGGTCCAGCGAGAGCAACCAAAATGATTAGGGGGCTGGAGCACATGACCTATGAGGAGAGGCTGAGTGATTTGAGTTTATTTAGTCTGAAGAAGAGAAGAGTGAAGGGGGATTTGATAGCACCCTTCTACTTCCTGAGGGGAGGCTCCAGAGAGGATGGAGAGAGGCTATTCTCGTTAGACAGCGGGCAGAACAAGGAGCAATGGTCTCAAGTTACAGACGGGGAGGTTTATGGTGGAGATTAGGAAAAACTATTTCACTAGGAGGGTGGTGAAGCACTTGACTGGGTTACTAGGGAGCTGGTGGAATCTCCATCCCTAGAGGTTTTTAAGTCTCAGCTTGACAAAGCCCTGGCTGGGATGATTTAGTTGGGGTTGGTCCTGTTTTGGGCTGGGGGTTGGACTCAATGACCTCCGGAAGTCTCTTCCAGCCCTAGGATTCTACGATTCTCACATTGGCTTAAATCAGGAGTAATTCGCTTGAGGTGAAAGGAATTAAACTTGTATAAATCTTATGTGAATGAGAGGAGAATCAGAGCCACAAAATATGTAACAGCCCACTCTACCGGTTCTCCATAACACCATATGTACATATTTGCTCTCTGAATCAGTGTAAATATCTATTGTGTGGTCTAACTCTTTTTTCATGTTGATTTCAGTGGTCGTATGTATAACAACATTCCTTTTTAATGTCTTTCCAGATACTACCAGATACGAGCAGGGTTGAAACTTCCAACCAGGATTCCCCATAGACTGACTGCCACAGTTGTAGAGCAAACAGGTGAGAAATCCGTACGGGCGTGTCCTGAGGCCCACTGGATTAATTTGTTTAGATTGGGGAAAATGGAGTGAGAGAGAATCTAAGTACAAATCTGGGTTTAAACCCAAGTGAATTCAGGGACCTGTGTTCTGGTTTGGCCTGTTAAAGAGATGGGCCCCACTTGTGAGGTTTGAATCTGGCACCAAACCTCATGGTGTACACGTGGGCGGCAGAGCCAGATTCAATTGGGCCTCATTTCTAGGGTCAGTGAAAAGGTGAATAAAACAATTCTCCTGGTAGCTTCACCCGGGCATGTGCAGTTTGTGCTCAAAGACATGGAATGCATAGTGAGGGCCGACAGGAAGTTCAAAATTCAGATGCTTCTCTGAATTCCATCTGGGCCAGCTGAACCTAGGGAAGCTGCAGAATTGAGCCAGGAATGGCAGGATAAAAATGAAATCACTCATGGAAAAGTGGCCCTCTGGTTTACTGCACATGGGAATTCTTAGTTTCCTGCCCAGCACTATGGAGTAATGTCCAACACTCGGTTACATTGCATTGCAGTGGCGTTGGCATTTCAGCAGCTGGTCATGAGATGTAAAATATGACCAAATACATTGTGAGGCTTTGCCTGGAGGAAGCGGACATAGACCTTGCTGAAGAGGGCCAAGCAGTGGCACCTCTATTGCAAGGAGGTTAGTAGGGTTCCTCTGCCAGGCATCCTATAAGGACTCAGCATAGACTCACTCTGGGAGAGGGCTGAGAGAGCAAAGCCCCATAGCTGAGGCAGGTATTAGCTAATTAGGGCCCCGCTGAGGGGAGTATTAATAAAGGCTCCTGGGGGGACGGAGACTCAGACTCATTCATGCTCTAGCTGGGGAGCAAGAGGGACCTAGCTGCCAGGGAAGCTAGAAGCTTCCTGACATAGAGCGGGGCTGGGGAAAGGCAGGTAGAGCTGGGGAGCTCTGGTGAAGCAAACTCCCAGGGCCTGAAGCAAGGCCTGAGGCTACTAGTGCTGCAGAGAGGCAGCCAGGGTAGGTGAAGGCAGCAGGTCCACACCTCCTTGCCAAGGATGAGTGGCCATTTCAGATGGCAGTTTGCTCCTGAGATATGAGATAAGGGGCTAGATGCTGACTGGCAGTGGGTCACTGAGGCAAGGTGGGTATAGAGGAATTGGGGTTCCCAGGGAGTGGAGGACCCCAGAGTGTGGGGGCACTGTGGTAAGGCAATCTCCAGAGGTGGAGAAAATACCAGGTAACTGTGAGCGACACACCAGATGAAAGAGGGTGCTCCGGGGCTGACTGAGCTAATCCCGAGTGACCTGCAGGAGGTGCCCATGGCAGCGAGGCGTGCTCGGTTACAGGCTCCTTCTGGACAAAGCAGTAGTAGGTCACTGTAAAGAACTACGGGTCTAATCCAGGGGCAGGCAATAATTTTTGCAGGGGGGCCACTTAATGAATTTTGGTACATGGTCACAGCTCTGGGGAAAGGCAGGTAGAGGGGGGAGCTGCCTGGGTTGCTGCAGCTATTTCAGGGGCTCACTGCTCTGGACCCTGCCTAGGTAGCACTGCGGCTATGAGCCATCTCAATAGGATCCTACTGCCTGAGCCACCACCTGGAAATTCAGTGGCACGGGCAGCATGTTGTAAATAATAAGTGGCCAGATGCAGTCCACGGGCTAGATCAAACTGTTAGGCGGGCCGGATCTGGCCCCCGAGCCGCATCTTGCCCAGCCCTGCTCTACTCCAAAATCCACTCAAGTCATTTGGAGTTTTTCCATTAATTCCTGGAGGCTGTAAATCAGGCCTTGGTAGCAGAATGCTGTCACAGAGGCTGCACAGCAGAAAGCAAGTAGCAGAACTGCATTTTAAATCTAACTTTTGTCTTCCTGCTATCCAAAAGAATATAACGGAATACAGTTCTCCACTGCAAACTGAGCAAATGAGCATATTATCCAGGACGAGTGTAAAACTGCTTCCTTCTTCTCTTGTGTCTTCATTTCACTGAAGGAACTACTAGCATTTTCTTCCTCACATCTGTGCATGCCTGAAACACAAGTGAGGCTGCAGCATTTCATCCGTCTCAAAACCCCCTTATAAACAGAAGGTGAAATGAACAGGGGGTTACAGAATTAGCAGCGGGACTTGCGTGATGCTAATGCAATCCAGACAGGAGTTTAACAGCTTAACAGAGCTAACATCAAGTCAGGGGTATTTAAGCCTTTAAAGCTTTAAAAGATTCTTCTTTGGCTAGCTTTGGAAGTGTTCTGTAATTGATTCATAAAGCCTATGGCAGAACATCATTTAAAGGGGCTGAAGTTTAAGCTAAACAGTTGGACACCCCTTTATTCTGTTGTCACTGATCTGTCCAAGTGTAATGTATAGATTTTGTGTGTGTGTGCGTGTATGAGAGAGAGAAATTAAAACAGTGTGAGATTGAATATTACTCACTATGAAACAGGCAGCACTGGCAGCCCAAATTATTATAAAATCTTGAGTCAGAGCCCCAAAATTAATAAGATTGACTTTTAAATCCATGGTTCTTTGAATTTGTTTTTTAAGGCTTTTGGATTTAGATTTTTCAAGGTTTCTTCACAACCCAGAGAGCCAGGAAGATTTTCTTTCAAAAAATAAAAGCTGGTATTTTCATTGCAGCACCTGGGACATATAACAAAACAAAACAAAAACAAAAAAGAGAGACTTGAAATATAATCATGAGAGGTGACAACACTAAAAGGTGGAGAGGAACAAAAGGGACAAGTATTTTCCACTGCAGAAGTAGAATGACTTTTAGCTCTCAACAACCCTTCATGGAGAAACAAAATCAGAACCAACCAAATGTGTGACTTTGAGACCCACCATGAGACTTCCAGGAAGTTAATATTACCTTACTTATGTAAAGTAAATGTTAATATAAACATGCATATATAATATAAGGCACTACATTTACAGTCCTAATAATAATAAGCATTTTTTCTTGAAAATATAGGGAATTGACTTGACTTTGCCTGCAATTAAAAGTACGTAGAAGGGAAATTTCCTCTTTAACGAGTCCATTAAAGATGATTACTTCATGTCAACTTTGGCCTGTTGGGTTATTATTCTTTGCAGGCTATACATCTGTACCTAAGGCTTGGTCTGTAATTGCCACTTAAATCAATGTAACTTACGTCAGTTAGGGGTGTAAAAAAAGAATCCACGTAAGTGACACAATTTACAATGACCTAACACAATGTCTCAACCGTGCTATATCAGTGGGAGTTGCTCTTCCATTGACTTAGCTTCCACCTCTTAGGAAGTCATCTTCACTCTTCACCAGACACATTAAATTGACACAACTTCATCAGTCACTTCACTTTCCGACGTCCATGCATAAACGCTGCTCTTGTTATGACATTGTAACAGATAGCAGAGTGGAACTTGACTACACGGCTGAAACCTCTGTGCTAATCTAACATAAATGGATTTCTCTCTCTTAAAACCAAATGTAGGGTTTTTTCATTGCATAGATTTTCAGAGCCCTTTTGCGGAGGGTTTTCTATTGCACGATGGTCCACTGAAATCAATAGTGTATTAGTGAATGCCTACAACATAGAGCAAGTCTAGTCTAGCCGAGTAGACCAGAAGTGGCAAGAAGTAGACAAGAGCTTAGTGCACTGTGTCAGAATCATGGCACTTAAGTCACTGGTGATATTCTGAAATGTGTTGAGCCACTGTTCAAGCCACTAGTTAGTCTAAAACTATTTTGTAATGTGGTAGAAAATGAGCAACATGCACGTCTTGGGCCAGGAGTGGGCAAATACCGGTCCATGGGTCTGGCGGGCCCCCACACTGCCGTATTTACCTGCCCTATCACACGTATGGGTGATTGTAGCTCCCATTGGCCACGGATAACTGTTCCACCCAATGGGAGCTGCGATTCCCCTGTACCTGCAGAGATGCAGGTAAATACAGAGGCAATGGCCCACCAGGGGCTAAACCTGGTGAACCGCTGCTGTTTTATTGCCCAGGGGTGGCAATAACAGGGGTGTGTTAGGCTATCCTCCAAGTCCTGCTATATAGATTCTCAGAGGGTGAGGCCAGAAGAAACCACTATGATCCACCTGTCCACCTGCATATGACAGGACAACGAGATCTCCTAGAATTGTCCAAATCTCTTGGTAAGTTTTGTGTAAGAAGATATTAAGTAGTGGAACAATTCACCGGAAGGATGCAGAGTAATTACTCTACAGAGTCATGCAAGTAGCTTATTAGCTCTGACCTGAAAGTAAGACAGCAACCTAGGCTAGTGAGTGGGCTACATGAGTGACCCTCCTTCATATCAGTGGGCAGCAAGACTGCTGTAAGCGAGACGGTCTCCTGGGATAGGGTAGTTTTGCTAACTGTGTCTGTGTACCTAGAATTTGCAGAGTGTGCTGATAGAACGATAGCTGTGCTTTGATTAGATGCAGAAGGAGCACATGGCTTTTACAGTCAATGTTGTGTGCACTTGGTACACACTTCACTTCATATGCCCTTGCTTTATGTGTGGGTCACTTTAGTACCAAAAAACAACACGGATGGAAATTCACATGTGTAATGGGCTGCACATAGAACCCTGAAAGGCTACATATGGCCCTCGGGATGCAAGTTCCCTGCCACTGGCGTCAAAGGTGCTGCTGTGTCTCTATGACTGGGATTCTGCAGAGAAGACCATAGGTGCTGTCTTGTTTAGGTTGAAAGCTTAGACTGTGGTTTATAGTTTCTTTGTATTCCTAACTAAACAAAACCCTCGAAAAAGGGTAATATTCGTCCTTATTTGGAGTATGTAGCCGCAGGATGGGAATTTAACCTATTATATGATCAAGAGAGAATAATTTCTTCACAGCTCTGGTTGAGGTGAGGCTCCATTATGAGTGGAAGGATGGTCAATGGGTTAAGACCGTGGCTTAGGGCACGAGATATTAAGATAGAGTTCCCTGCTGTGTCCTGGACTTCCTGTGCGATCTTGAGCAAATCACTTAATCTCTTTGTGCCTCAGTT